ACCTGTGAATTTTGTTTTCTTTGTTCATTGTTTGGTCAATTGATACCTTTATTTTGAAGATAATTGATGAAATAAATATTTGCCATAGCTGGTCATTTTCATTGCGAGATATAACATAACAGAGTAGCTAAAGGGTTAAGTGTTAGTAATTGTGACATGTATGTTAATGTTAACTCTACTTCTAGTTTCTACAAACGTCACCGTCACAGACTAGGCTACAAGAACAGATTGGGCAGTTGTTCATCTTTAGCCCAGGCAAACAGTGCTCTTACTGTAGAAGACACAACATCTGTTCATCTTTGGGTTGGTAAAGATTATGTCAATTGGATAAGCAAAGATTTGAATAACCTGGATAAACCATTTCAAGGTAAGGACTAGTTTTTCTTGAGTATATAGCAATAATTTTCTACCTTAAAAAAATAAAATTATAATCATAGGTGATCATATAACTCCCAGTCTTTAGATCACCTATTTTGTATAGAAAACTAGATATATCTGCTTTATTTTTTAAGAAAATGATAATGATCATTGAAAAAAGCATATCATTCTGTATTTTTTAACTTCTATGAATTCTTACAGGCATTACCCTTTTTCAGTTTTCAGAAAGTATCCAACAAGTAAATGGTTGTCAGTGTAATACATTTTGAAATTATAAATAATGTAATTGATTAATTCATTTTTTAAGACCTGATATAGAGTAATAGTATAGCATACACACCTTGATCATACTTAAATAAATTGAGTTCTAATTGGTTTTGTGCATGTTTTTTTCTGCCTTGCATCAGATATATATATCTTGAAAACACATAAATGTTGCAGTTGAGCAAGCTAAGAAAATAGTAAAGATAAAGTGAAAATACAAAAAAGTAACTTTTTTGTTTTTTACCAGATAACCCGTTGATATTCTTTATTTTTAGTGTTTATCTTTATTAAACATTTTTCTCATTTTGATTATAGTTAATTTGTTTTTTAATCAAAGCATATAGAGGACCCTGACCATAATGATATATATTGCAGATATTGTTAATAGGCATCAGACACCACGCATGCCTTGGCATGATATAGGTCTGTTTGTGGAGGGACCTGCTGCTCGAGATGCTGCTAGGCACTTCATTCAAAGGTGGAATGCTGTGAAAACAGAGAAGGTAATGTAGATTGTTTGTCTTTTTTAATTGCATGTGTTCATATATTTTATTTAGATATATGATGATGGATATATTGATATGGGATAACTTGTACAGAGATAATAATGCAGTATTAAGAATTTGATATAGTTTCTTTTTTTACCTTTAATCTTTTATAATAGGCAAAGCCAAATAGGAAGTACCCTTACCTCCTTCCAAGAACCTATGATAAAAGGTCATTCCAACCATCCAAGCTTCAAAGGAAACATAAAGTCAGCGCTCAGGTAATTTATTTATTTATTTATTTATTTTTATTTATTTATTTTTTTTTTTTTTTTTTTTTTTTTTTTTATAACTTCATGGAATTCATTACTGGAAGAGCAGATGAACTCTGCATAACCATCAGGAATGTGGAAATTAGAAAGTTTACAGATACATTTTTATATTTATGTATCAGCTCATATGTAGAATTTAATTAAATGGGATGTTACTTATTCCAGGTTTTGCGCAGTGTTGGGAAATGGAGTGCTGGACTGGAAGAGGAAGAGGCTAGCATTGCTTCTGCTTATGTCAGCCTTATTCGGAATGCAAAGCATTACATTTACATAGAAAATCAGTTTTTCATTACATGTGCAAGCAGTAGTGGCTCAAGAGAGGTGTCAAATTATATTGGATATGAAATTGTGGAAAGAATTGTCCAAGCTCACAGGTTGGAACATCAAAATGTGCCTTTCTGTATTTTTCTCTTGACATTTTGTAGATAATGTGCAAAAATTGAATCTTAAATGGATGCATAGACTGAGAAGACAAACAGAGAACAGATGCATTGTCTAAGATAAAGAAAGGCAGAAACACATTCACAATCTTATAGACCAGTATTTACATACATAGTGATAGTTAGATATTTGATAATAAGGAAGTGATTAATTCATAATGAGTACAATTGTCTCAGAAAGTACATTTCTATTCCACAGCAATAATGAGGTCTTCAGGGTGTTTGTCCTGCTACCACTTTTGCCTGCATTTGAAGGCATGATTGGCAAATCCAGTGGTGTTGCTATGCAGTACATTGTGTACTGGAACTATGTCAGCATATCAAGGTAAGTTGGAAGAATGTATTAGTTAAGTGTGGTTTACACATTCAATACATGATTTGAATCTGACTATAAAGGTGTGTGCATAAAGCATATTCAGATAATTTTGTTGTAAACCCTCAATATACTCCATACATATCATCACACTTGTTCTGTTACATCAACAGAGGAAGGAACAGTTTGATTCACTGCCTGAAGGAAAGAGGAGTCGATGATTGGGAGAAATATATATCATTCTGTTCCCTGCGGACACATGAATGCCTAGAGGGTCGTCTTGTCTCAGAACTCATATATATCCATTCAAAGCTGATGATTGTGGATGACCGCTTTGTCATTGCTGGTTCAGCAAATATCAATGACCGGAGCCTCAAGGGAAACAGGGACTCTGAAGTGTGTATGGTCTTGGAGGTAATGCTACCATATTTTGCTCTTTTCCTCTTTTTTTCTGGGGTGAGGGGGGTAGGAGGGGAAATTGCAGTGATGCTGGAATCTGATTTTTTCTTTTTCATTGCAATTATTTGGTTGTGATTCTGCTTATTCTTAGGTTATACAAATGGTAGATAACATTTATCTAGAGTTTGTTGTCTGTGTTTCTACAAGACTAATATTTATTTTTTAAAGTAGTTGATGCAAGTTGATTATTGACTAGATATTTCTTTTCTCAAAAGATTGAATTTGAAGTCATATACATTCACAAAGAACAACCATCTGTAGTAGCATATACTGTTAATAGAAAATTGTATCATTATGATTCTCAGTTCTGCTGTTTTATTGTTTTATTTTTGCTGTCAGTGTAAAATAAAGAAAAAATGTTCCTAATTGCAACATTATTGTTTTAGGACCATGAGTTTGAGGAAGGCATCATGAATGGACAGAGATACCAGTGTGGAATTTTTGCTGGAAGCATGAGAAAGTACCTCTTCAGTGAACATCTTGGCATTGCAGATGATGAGTCACCTGCCATAGATGTCACAGATCCTGTTTCAGATTCCTTCTTTATCAACATTTGGCTTGATATAGCAAAGAAAAACACACTTATATATGAGGAGGTAATGTGGGAAGTTTTCAGTGTCTTTTTGATATGCTGCATAGTATCATGAGAATTTTCATATAATTTCTGGAGAAGATTTGATGACCACTGTAAAGAGTATTGTAAATTTTGGTTTTATTTGCCAGCTATTATTACTCTTTTAGTTGGTAATGGTTTTATAGGAAATTTCTCTTTATAATGTCAATACTTATTTGAATTCAGAGGTGATTTTGCCTGCAAAAATCATATGACTATGTATGTTTCAGGTCTTTTCATGTTATCCCTGTAATAGCGCCACTACTTTTGAAGAAGTAGACCGATTGCGCAACTCATCATCAAAAGCAGAAACAAATCCTTCTGAATCTCTTGTGAAGCTGAAGGAAATCCAGGTAAATGATCTTCCGTTTTGTTGCATTGTTCTAGTGAGTTGATGCTCTTTAATGACCAGTGCTTGATATCAGCACACATTCTAATATTCTCTACAAATAGAACTTGCAAGGATATTTTTCATTATTCCTTTTCCTCATTTCAGGGACATCTGGTGTGCTTCCCCTTAGACTTCCTGAAAGATGAGATTCTGAAACCAGGTGTGGGTAATAAAGAGTATCTTTTGCCTATGGAGACCTGGACGTAGGTTTGAATGTTGTATTTAACAAGATAACTGACATTACCTAAAGGATTCAGACTTTGTTGTGAATAATAGAAATATATTACTTTTTACATTTCTAAAGAGATAAAGTGAGTGGCGTCATATCTTTGATATAGTAATATTTTCTGCCATTTACATGTGATACAGTTTTTTAGTATAACATTGTTTTCTGCCATTTACAGGATTTCAGTTCCTTTTACATATATATGTGAATTCAAATATTTTTTGTAAATTGATTGGTTCACTAAAAGAATTGAAATCATGTCATATTTTACATATTGATTTTGCACCTGAAAATGTTTCTAACTAAATGTTGGAAGTTGGAATGTTATTTTAGAATTGATATAAAGGCAGTCTAGGAAGTATGTGATTATATTTTATTGGGACTTGTATGTGGCTTTTAATGTATATAAAAGTTTACCAAATATTTCAGTGATTTATATTAAAGTTATATGTGTATTTTTTATATGTTTCTATTTTTATATGTGCATATATGTGTGTACGGCACATATGTATGTCTGATCTAAATGTTTTAGTATATATATGTGTGAATGTGTTATAATTATATGCAAGTGTGAATGTAAATTGTCTTGAGTGTGATATTTATATATCAATTTGTTTTATTAATGATTGAGCTTTGATTGATTTAATGTTTGTTTTTATGATGTGCATATTATTATGATTACAATGAACTGAATGAAGATATGATAAACATTAACCTTTAGTTTGGATATCCAAAGATAATGCAGAGGGATTTATGAATAATCCATGAAGACATTGTTAATTAATTTTTTGATGTTATTTGTGTCTATAGAAGTATAGGATGCATAAGGAGTTATTGAGTAGTAAGCATGATGTATGTTTATTTCCTTATATTCACTTAAGATAACATATGCACATAACATGTAGGTATATCATATACACACAAATTCTTATATCCACACATACCACATATTAGCTGAGTGCACATATATATATATAATATATATATATATATATATATATATATATATATATATAATATATATATATATATATATATATATATATGTGTGTGTGTGTATGTGTATGTATGCATGTATGTATGTATGTATGTATGTATTATATATATATATAGTATGTATGTATCTATATATATGTATGTATTATATGTGTATATGTATATATATATATTAGATCCATAGATATATATGTATATAGATATATATTATCCATCTATTTCTCTCTCTGTCTCTCTCTCTCTCTCTCTCTCTCTCTCTCTCTCTCTCTCTCTCTCTCTCTCTCTCTCTCTCTCTCTCTCTCTCTCTCTCTCTCTCTCTCTCTCTCTCTCTCTCTCTCTCTCTCACTCTCTCTCACTCTCTCTCACTCTCTTCACTCTCTTCCTCTGTCTCTGTCCTCCTCTCTCGATTCATCTGTCTCTATACTAACTTCATCATCTCTCTCTCATCTCGATATCTATCACTCATACTAACACTCGCGCGCTCAGTGCTCACCTCTGCTCTGCGTCTCTCTCCTCTCTCCTCTCTCTTACGTCTTTCTCATCTGTGCGCTCTCGTCTATCTCCCAACACAATTAACTCACCTGCTTTCTCTATTGTTTTTTAACGTTCATTGACCACCCGTTCCATCCCAGTATTACTCTGCATAGTTCGTTCTATTTCTCCCGGCATACTACCTTCTCTCTACGCCTTCGCTATCGTATCTCCACCTCACCTCCAACACGAGCAACTACACACTACACACTATCACACTCATCTATCATATACTCACTCTTCTACTCACTTTACTCTTGATCTTACTCTACTTTCATCTCTGTCTCCCTCTACTCTCTCTCGTCCTCTGCGTCTATCTTCATACTCTCATTCCAACTCAAACTCAACATCATCTCTATCTCACTCAAATCAACCAAATACTAACTACTTCTCACTCACATCACTCTACATCACTTCACTATCTTCACTTCTTCACATCTACTACTCAACATCACACTTCACATCACTCACTACCTCACTACTCTCCTATTCTCACACTTTCTACACTCTTCTATTATTATCCAACTTCTTATCATCTCTCTCCAAAACTCTCTCAACTCATCTCAATTCATTATTATTATTATCTTACTCAATCTTTCTCACTATCTCTTCAACTCTATCTATCATTTATCTTCATCTCTCTTCTCTTCTTCACTCACTTATTATTTCCTACTTCTTTCATTCTCTACTTTCTATTCTATTTATATCTCTATTATCTTCTATTACTTTCATTCATCACTTCATTCTCTATCTCTTCTATCATCTCATTCAATCTCATCTCTCCTCATTCTCCACTCTTATCTTCATTATCATTAATATTATATTTATATTTATTCATAATATTATTACGATAGATCATACCAATGACATATTTTCTCATTTTTATATCACATATATTTATTTCATAATTCATTATTATGCATTAACATTTATCAATATTATTGGTATTATATTAATGATAATTATTATTATTAATTATTATAATTATTATTATTATCATCAATTATAATATACAACTATTTAATCTAATGCTAAATCTAACATAGTCTATTCTCTCTATTTTATATCACTTAATTTCCAATTATACATAATTTATTACATATTATTAATCATTATTATTAATCAATCTCTATAAAGGTTATTTTGTTATCATTAATCTATTATATTATACGCCATATACCTCTAATCAATTTAATCTAACTAATCCTAAATCTACTACATTATTTAATTTACTATATTCTATCAATATACATGTATTATTATATCTATATCTCATTAATTAATTAGCATTATATATATATATATATCAATTAATATTGACTATAATATAATATATAAACATAATTAATTACCTATAATTAACTAGGATAGTATGTTACATTATTGTCAGAGTTCTAGATTATTATATCATTAATTGTTACTAAATACTACCACTTACATATCAATATCCATCTAATTAATACCCTATACTACTATCTTCATATATCATTTATCATACTATTATTAACATAATACAATATTATATAAATCATAATACATTATAATTCAATTTTTGTTATTACTTTATTCTATCATAAGTATCATCTATCCATCTCCATCATCTAATATCAAATTATTATGTTCATTATATGAATATGTGATTTATATCAATTATATCTATAAAATTCAATCATATCAATATTAACTACAGATATCCCTACAATTATACACTGAGATGACCCGTTAAACAAATAATGATTATCTATTCATGTTTATTACATACATATTACTGGTTATATTATAAACTATTATATTATTACTATTATATCAATTATTTCATAGTATTTTCATTAACTATAATATATATATAGCCTCTATATTTTACTAAATAAGTATATTTCTCTATTCATATTATATTATACATAGTAATTCATAATCAACTCCTTATTATTGTTCCTCTGTTTGTGAGCGAAAATTAATTATTATATTTTTATGTGTAATAATATTTAATAGTAATAATCTATATGTATCTTATTACTCATTGTCTCTTATCTCCTCTTCCCTGATTTATTTATACCAATCAAATTTCTAGTAATTATTATATGTATACCAATTCATCTAATTCTATATCACAATTATGATTATACACATATTATTTTCTATATATTATTTATTATTGTCCACTATAGCATCAATCATCATATACTCATTCAATATTATCAATATCAATCATTATCTAATCATACTAATTCTATCCCTCCTCATCAATCGTATGCAGTATATATATATAAATATATTATATACACGTACAACATTACATACACAGCACACGTACACACATACGTACACGCACACGCACACACACACACGTACGTGTGTGTGTGTGTGTGTGTGTGTGTGTGTGTGTGTGTGTGTGTGTGTGTGTGTGTATTTGGTATGATATTTGTTTATATATACATATATAACTGTATACAGACACACACACAGGTATAGGGCCATTGAGAGCCAGGCAGGACTCGGGGCAAATCATGGGTTAGAGACTAAGTTCTAAATCAGTATTTACTTATAATAATATTATTATTATATTAATTTCAATAACTTACTACTTTCTTAATGTCAAAATCACTGATGTCCCTATGTCTTCTAGCCACTTCACTTTCAAGGCTTGAAATTACCAGCTCTGTTATCCTCCCATTTGTCAAGTCAAGAAGTTGACATTAAGGAAGAAAGACAATCATGGGCCTCCTTCAAGGAATTAAAACAAATTTTGTTATACTCGCTGCTAGTATGGGAGAAGAATTAGTGTTTTGTCATTTCAGTCGATTATTCAGCGAAATAATATGTAGCAGCAGCAGATTTTGTGGGGCTGCAGGATTGTTGCCCCTTTTTACCCACTCTTGACACTACTGCAAATGCGCATATATACACGCATACATGTATTTTGTAAATATGTATCTATACAAGTTTTATTTGTATCAGGATGATGTGCTTTTATTGAATGCAAATTAATTACATTTAAGATAATTTGTTATATATCATGTGTATTTATTGAAAGAGTATTACAGATATTAGATATGGAATTGTATCAGGCAGCACCAGCAGGTTGTCCTCTTTAATTTGTATTTTTTGAACTTTACATTAGTAGCAGTTTCTCAATATCAAGCTGTTTTGCATATTTTAATGGGCAAATGCTGTGTGTATGTTTTAAGCTGGAATATGCTTTCATTCACATTTTGTTTGTTGTTTTGATAAACTAATTGCTTTGTGCCAAGTCATCTAAATACCATTTGTCTATTGCAATTTATGAAGGCAACAGTACAAATAATATAATTTTCACCATTCTAACTCTGCTTTTGGAATATAATTGCAAGAATATGTCATTTAAAGATATTACTATAATTGGTAAAATTAACAGAAGAAGCTTTTGGGATTTGCTCTTACCTGCAAAGAGTAATAGTAAGTCATATGATTATGCTGACATGTTGTATATAAAAGAGTATAATGATGTCAATTTCTAAAAATGCTGTGTTGTTTACTTATGATCTCGAGAAGCATAAATGTCAAAGGCTTAAGAATATAGTTATTGTTAATCTGCATGTTAGTGTTTTGCAGGTTGAGTCTTTTTCCTTGTTAAAGTCTGGGTTTGTAATATCTTAATAATTTTAATTTTAGGAAGGTGATTAGTTGGTGTAATTTTTAAAAATGTTAGGCTGTGCATTTTGATGATTATATCCAAATTTGGTATGGAGAATGATATTGTGAGGACATTTTTTTACTGGTGTAGGTTTACATAAAAAAACACATGCATCTTGTCTGATTTCCTTTTCTATTCTTTTGTGTCTACAATCATCTACTGTATTTTACAACATGTAAGATGCTGACGCATATAAGATCAACCCCTACCTTCAGTGAATAAGTTTGTCTTTAGTATAATTTTGCATTTAATTTCACCTGAAATTTGCATAGTAGGAAAGAAAGGTAGAACCTCTTTAATTTGCATTAACACTTCATGTTGATGGGTGTTACTGCTGTTGTCAGGTTAATCATTGAGCTGAACAATTTGTACCATGGTTTGCTGTTTGGAAATAACCGGTTGTGAATGTGACTGTGTATATTTGGTGCACATCTTTTGATCATGTTGGTGCTATGAATAGGTTTTGATGCAGTTATCTGTTATTTACTAGGATCATTTATAAGCACACACTATTGAAGTTAGGTGCTGTGTCTGTATTTTGGACTTGATTTCAGTACCTATTTTATAGAAAGGTATAGAAATAGAAGTGATAGTAAGAACAGTGATACCTTATTTTAGTTGTAAAGGATTTTAATTCAAAAAAATGAATTTAGACAGTACGTATATATACATGGACACATACACACACACATATATATGCATGCACATACACACATGCACCATGCACACACACACGCACACACACATGAACAAGCACACACACACAAACAAGCACACGCACACGAACAAGCATATGCACATGCACACAAACAAGCACACGCACATAAACAAGCACATGCACACAAACAAGCACACGCACATGCACACGAACAAGCACACGCACACACATATCTCATGTGACTGACTCCTAAAGAACAGTCACATTAGAGTTCTGTGTCTATACAGCACAAAGAGAAGTTTACTTTGGTATGCAGTTGTTTAAGCTCAGATTATGCTAATTTTGGACCTTTGTAATAAGATAATTTCTTACCCTTAAACCCCATTTCCTCCACATATTTGAAAAGACATTTTTTTTTTTTTTTTTTTTTTTCAGTAAGAGTAAAAAAAAAATGACATTACTAGTAAAGGTACAGTTACAATTTCAAATGTGTCTTTACACACAAAAAATTTATGACATGTATTAATGAATTATTAGAGAATTCATTTTTTTTCTATAATTAAATGTGTTTGTGTTTTTGTGTGCATGTGCCTGTGATATTATTGCATTTTATTTATGTATATATATATTTAATGGTAAGATTTCTATTTACATTAACTGCATAGAGGTTGTGCACATAGAAGTTGATATTTTTGTGGGATTCATTGATGTTAATTTCTTGATATATTGACGTTTTCAATGTAATATTACTAACGATATTTTGAGGTGTAAGAATTATGATTGTTTTATTGTTTGAACTTTCACTGATATTATGTTAGTAGAGTTTTCATTAGTCGTATATATATTATACACATATTTATTATGCAGCAGCTCTTCTTTTATAAACAATTTCTTAAGGATTTATTTCATGGGTGTCGTATATGCTCTCTTTTGAAAGTTTCCTTCCAAAGATATTTATATTTTGATTTATCATTATCACTATGTTGATTGATAGATGAATTGATTCATTCATTGTTAGTTGAGTATATGCTTTATACTATATAAAATGAATTATTGAATACTAAGGATTTATAACTACAGTTTGTTGGTATATAGATGAAAATAAATAAGTGAATGAGAAAATATAGGATATTTATTTCCCTTGATTAATTCCATCGATTTTTCCCTTAGGCCCATCATTTTAGAACTGATCAATCAATTTTTTAAAGTTAATTATGACCACTAATCTGAAAAGCAAAGAGACTGAAAACTTCATTAACATCATACATTGAGTCTTAATTGTCCTAAGATACACACTGGGTTATTAACATCACTGAGGCCTACAGCATTAGTAATTTGTTTTTTACGAAATATTAGGCAGAATTTAGTATTGAAAATAATGGAATAAAAGACCAAAACTAAAACAAAGTTTCTTTTAGCTTATCCAGCTTTACTTTCTCTAAATGTTTACAGTACAACTAATAACACAATAATTTGGTTTCAAGATGTACATAAAAAAGCAGTGAAAATGGCTCTTTATTACGGTTAAAGTTTAAAAGGGAAGAGAGTGGGAAAAATAAGAGGACAATATTATTATTATTGTCATTGTTGTCAATAGTAAAAGCATGCTCATTAGTATCAGTACTACAAAGATTATATTAATATAATTATCATTATCATAGTTATTATCATTATTATAGTCATTATTACTATTATTATCATCATCATTATTATTAGTAGTAGTATTTTTATTATTATTATTATTATCATTATTATCATTATTGTTGTTCTTGTTTTCATTATTATTATATTTATTATTATTATCACTATCATTATTATCATTATCATTATTACTATTATTATTGTTATCATTATTATTGTTGTTATTGCTTTCATTATCATCATTATCATTATTATGATTATAATCATGATAATAATAATAATAATAATGATGATGATGATAATGATTATTATTATTATCATTATTGTTGTTGTTATTGCTCATGATAATGATGATGATCACTACTTTTATTATTATGATTATCATTATTATTATCATTATTGTTGTTGCTATCATCATCATCATCATTATTATTACTATTGCTCTTGCTAGTATTATTGTTATTATTATTGTTGTTATTATTTTATTATCATTATTATTATAATCATTATTTTTCATTGTTATAACTATCATTTTTATATCATTTGTTATTATCATCATTAATATTACTATCACCATAACTAATATCATTATTATGGTTATTATTACTATCATTATTATTATTATTGTCAGTATTGTTATAATCTTATTATCATTATTATTATTATTATTATCGTTATTATTATTATTATCACTATTATTATCATTATCATTATTATTATTACTATTATTGTTATTATCATTATTATTGTTATTATTATTATCATTACTATTACTACTCTATCATTTTATTATTATTATAATTGTTATTATTATCATCATTATCATTATTATTATTATCATCATTATTATTATTAATATATCTATTATTAGTAGTAGTATAATTTGTGTTATTTTTACCATCATCGTTTTTATCAGTGTCATTATTATCATATTGTCATTGTTATTATAATCATTATCATCATCAGTATTATTGATATTATACTTATTATTATTATCATTATCATTATTATTATTATTGTTATTATCATCATTATTATTATCATTTTTATCATTATTACTATCATTATGATTATTATGATGGTTAACATCATCAATATCATTGTTATTAACATAATCATTTTTATCATCATTAATATTTTATTTTTTAGCATTATTTTTGTTAAATCATTATTATTATCATTATTATTACCTTTAGTAGTATTACCATCATTATCATTATTATCCTCATGATTGTTATTGTTATTACTATCACTAGTATTTCATCGTTATTATTATCATTATCATCATTATGATGAATATCATTAATAATATTATTTTCTATCATTATCATTATTGTCAGTATTATCATTATCATCATCCATCATTAATATTCTTATCATTATGATTGTTATTATTAATATTATTATTATTATTACTATCATTATTATTATAATTATTTTTGTTATTATTATTGTTATAACTATTTTCATTATTATTATTATTTTATTTTTATCATTTTTATTATTGCTATTGTAATTATTATTGTTATTATTATTATCATTATTGCTATTGTTATTATTATTATTATTATTATTATTATTATTACTATTATTATTATCATTACTAGTTTGGTTATTGTTGTTATTATTATTATTATTATTATTATTATTATTATTATTATTATTATTATTATTATTATTATTATTATTATTATTATTATTATTATTATTAGAAGCAGTATCATTATTTTCGTCATCATCGTTCTCATTCTCATTTTCATTAACATTGTTATTACCATCATCATCCTTAATGATATTGACATTATTATCAATATGATGATCATTATCATCATAAATAGTATTATCATTATTATCATCATAATGATCATAATGATCATTATCATTATCATCATGATCATTATCATTATCATCATAATGATCATTATCATTATTATCATCATAATGATCATTATCATTATAATATCATTATTATCATCATAATGATCATTATCATTATTATCATCATAATGATCATTATCATTATCATCAGATCATTATCATATCATATGATCATTATCATTTCATCATCATAATATCATTATCATTATCATCATCATAATGATCATTATCATTATCAATCATCATAATGATCATTATCATTATCATATCATAAATATTCATTATCATTATCATCAATAATGATCATTATCATTATCATCATCATAATGATCATTATCATTATCATCATCATAATGATCATATCATTATTAATCATCATATGATCATTATCATTATTATCATCATAATGATCATTATCATTATTATCATCATAATGATCATTATCATTGTTATCATCGTTTTCATGATCAATCATAATCATGATCTGGATTATTATCATCGTTATTACTCTAAGCATCTGCAATGATATAATTGCTGATATTATTACTATCATTACTATTATTATTGTTGTCAGTATTGTTATGATCTCATTATCATTGTCCTTATTGTTATTATTATTATCATTATTATTATTATTATTATTATTATATCATTATTACTATTATCATTATTATTAAAATGTAAAACGCAAAATTGAGAGTTGATTTGTAAAAAGTACTACTTTCTGCAGTAGTGATTATTATGAAAAAGCATTACCGATTAGATGAGCAATCGTCATCACTGATTTTACCGTAATGCAATTCATGGTTACAATTTAGTACAATACAAATATTACATAACCCTGTAACCCTCTCTACGAGTTACCATGGCAACGGCGACGCTAAGAAGGGGAACACGCGCACAAATAGATAAAGCGACTACAGGAGTGCACTTTTAAAATTAATAGCTAGACGTGACCGTGTCAGTCCTATATATTCACTATACTTACGATGGACTGAATGTAAATCTTTACAATAGAAACCCGAAATAACAATTGCATAAATTTGAAAAGAAATCGAAACCATGTGGAACCACGCAGAGGAAAATGAGTACGATATGCCAGACATTGTTGGTGGCGATGGCGATCCAGTTTCGGATAATCTTGAGGGCGGCGGAGACGGCAAAGACTTGAAATCTGCCGTGAATTTATGTCAGGAATCCTCCACTTCTCTGATGACTACAGTTTCTTCTCTAAGAGCGCAGGTATCAGCGTGGGCACCAATTACTTTGGTTTTTATAATAATCATTGCATTGAACTTATCGATTGATATACACATACACGTACACGTATGTATACATGTGTACATACAAATACACGTACATGTACACGTACGCATACCCTACACATTAACATCTACACAAGCTGTACACTGACACTCGCTCTCACGCACGCACGCACACAATGATGATAATAATAATAATAATTATTATTATTATAATAATAATAAATAATGACAATAATAATAATAATGCAATAATGATAATAATAATAATAACAATAATAATAATAATAATAATATAATAATAATGATAACAATAATGATAATAATAATAGCAATAATGATAATAATAATAACAATAATAATAATAATAATAACAATAACTGATGATAATGATGATATGATAATAATAATAATGATAATAATAATAATAATAATAATAATAATAATAATAATATTAATA